ATGCAGTGTTACCCTGCTCTGTTCTGACTACTGCCTCTTGGTCCAAGTATAGATTTCGCACTAGCACAATTAAATATTCTGGGATTCCCATTCTCTCAGAGTCAGCCACAGTTTGTTATGATCCACACAGTCAAATGCCTTTGCATAATCAATGAAACACAGATATCAGCAGTGATATAAGGAAATAATAGACACTGCAAAATTTAAGAGGTCTGAGTAATAAGTGACAAAAATGAATGAACAAATAAATAAAAATAGTGGAATACGTTCAAGAATTTTTGCAATGAAATAAATTTCATAGCGTATTAGAAAGGTGTTTTACTGAATGAAATATTTATCACTACAGTGAAATGTGCAAGGAGTTGGAGTCAGAAAACCGAAAGGGTCGAACCCGCTCAGCATTTCTTAAGCTCAAGGAACTGAAGAACAAATTCAAACCTCTAGTTGCTATAATCAAGGATGCTTTAGGCAGAGTATTAAATGATCCAGGAGGTATCAAAAGAAGATGGAAAGAATATACTGAGTCATTGTATCAAAAGAAATTAGCAGACACAGAAGAGTTTAATGAAACAACATATGAGCAAGAGCCTATGGTGATGAAGGAAAAAGTTCAAGCTGCTTTGAAGGAAATAGCAAAAAAATAAGGCCCCAGGAATAGATGGTATACCAATTTTTGACATATTTCAGCTAACAGATGCTGCTCTGGACGTGCTCACCAAGTTGTGTCAAGAAATCTGGAGAACAACCACTTGGTCAACTGACTGGAAGAGATCTTTATTTGTTCCCATTCCAAAGAAGGGTGACCCAACAGAGTGTGGAAACTAAAGAACAATATCGTTGATTTCACATGTAAGCAAGATTCTACTGAAGATTATCCAAAAACGACTGGAACAGCACATCAGCAGAGAACTGCCAGAAGTCCAGGCTGGGTTTAGAAGGGGTCGTGGTACTAGGGATATTATAGCTAACGTTAGATGGATCTTGGCTGAAATCAGGGAGTACCAGAGAACTTCTATCTTTGCTTCATTGATTGTGCAAAGGCGTTTGACTGTGTGGACCATAACAAACTGTGGCTGACTCTGAGAAGAATGGGAATCCCAGAACACTTGATCGTGCTAATGGGAAACTTATACTTGAACCAAGAAGCAGTCATCAGAATCAGAACAGAGCAAGAAAACACTACATGGTTCAAAACTGGGAAGGGCATACGCCAAGGGTGTGTCCTGTCTCCATACCTTTTCAACCTGTATGCAGAACATATCATCTGGGAGGCTGGGCTCTATGAGGAGAAATGTGGCTTCAGGATTGGTGGAAGATCTTGCTGAAACTGAGGGGGACCTGAGGCGCTTACTGCTGAGGGTCAGGGACTGCAGCCTTCAGTATGGACTGAGGTCAATGTGAAGAAGACAAAGATTCTCACTAGTGGACCAATTGGCAGCATCAGGATGGATGGTGAAGAGATTGAGATTGTTCACAGCTTTAGTCAGCTTGGCTCCACAATCAACACTCTTGGCACCAGCAGCCAGGAAATTAAAAGACGTCTTGTGATAGGAAAGTCTGCTGTTAGGGACCTCTCTAAAGTACTCAAGAGCAATGGTGTGTCTCTGGAGATTAAAGTGCATCTGGTACAAGCTATGCTCTTTGCAATCACTTGTTATGCATCAGAGAACTGGACAATAACCAGGGAAGATAGAAGGAGAATTGATGCTTTTGAGCTTTGGTGTTGGAGAAGACTGCTGAGGGTGCCATGAACTGCCAAGAAAACAAACAGATTCATCCTGGAGAGGGTTAAATCGGGCTGCTCCTTAGAGGCAAAGATTCTGAGGCTTTGTCTGACATACTTTGGTCATGTTGCAAGGAGGGATCAGTCCTTGGAGAGGGACATCATGCTTGGGAGCATGGAGGGTAGGCGCAGGAGGGGAAGGCCCTCTGGGAGATGGATTGATTTTGTGACTGGGGCAGTTGGGATGAGTGTGTCGGAGACAGGTTGGCACAGGACAGAGCAGAGTTTAGAGCTGTTGCACATAAGGTCGCCATGAGTCGCAAGTGACTTGACAGCACATAACAACAACATATATCCTTTTCAACTACCAGGAAATCTTGCACTTCAGTGACTACTGTCTTCAAATTCTGCAGTGCTTGCTTTTGTAATCAATTTGTTTATCTAAACTTCAGTTCTTGCAGGTCATTAAAGTACTTTACATGCTTATGGACATTTATTTCCTTACTTCTTAGCTAGAGTATTAAATTTCTTGTAGCGTGCTGATTTGTAAGAATACAAACATTTATATTTAAAGGTTTATTTCTTGATGAACTAGATCACTAGATATCTTATTATATTTCAAATAGAATCTGAGTTTATCCCAGATATTTTTTTTATGATCAGTATATTTTAAGGTTATTTTTAATGAGCTTGTAAAAGCTAACAATATTTTGTTATTAAAATATGAAACTGAGTGAAACACTTAAAATTAATCTTTCTATTCAATGATAGGCTGTGTTTATGGTAAAATTTACTGATGTCATTTCTCTCTATTAAGGACCTCAAACATAAATAGAAAATATTACATTGCACTCTGTCTTTCCAATGTTGCCTTTATGCTTCCCTGGCAATTTGCTCAGTTTATACTTTTCACACAGGTAAGATGATTTTAAACTAACTTAAGTTGAATGTGAGATGCACTTGATTATTTACATGGAACTTTTAAAATGTGATTTACATTATGTCCTAAAAGAATTTTAAAATATGAAATATTTTTAAAATTAACATAAATATAAGATTAAAAATTACACATTTTGGTAGTCCACTAGTATATCCACCAGCTGCTCTGAGGGAGAAGGATGGGCAGTTTCCTCCCATGCAATCAACTGCCTCTGAAAACCCTCAGGAGGGTCAGCTATGGGTCAGTTGTTGCTTGATGGCGCACAATAACAACAATAACTACAGATGTTGACGCATTTGCCAGAAGAGCAAAATCTTAATAAGGCATCATTTCCCAGCACTTTAACAAATTTGTTGATTGAATGGAGGCCATATCTTGTTATGTCTTTAAACAGTGAAGAAAATAATGGACTGAAACCTTGCTGCAGAGCCGAGAGGATAAAGATACAATTTGGATTCAATTACAATTTTCCCATTAGGGCTTCTTTCCACCTAACTAGCAAGCAATCTAACTGGTAATAATGCTAATATTAAAAATAGACAATGAAGGACTTTTCTAGGAAGCCTCTTTCATTGACATGTCTGCAGTTTAAACTATTCTGCTTTATTTCCTTATAATTGACCCCTTTTAGGTTATAAAAGTATTTATTCTGTGGTTTTCATTATTTATACATGTACTAGAATTTTTTAGTTAGTATTTTGCTGTGTTTCTGGTGAAAGCTTACACAACAAATTAACTTTCTTTTTGACAGTTAGTGTACAAGTTGTTCAGTAGTATTAGAAAATTTTTCTTAGAAGGTCATAATTCACTTTATGTTTTGACTGTTCCATTTCCAGTGCTCTAGTTCCCTCCATACCTCACTCCACAAGTGTCTTACCTTTTCTTTTAGAGGGGTTATTGATCTTTTGTTCTCATAGTACTGGTTTTCACTGGAACACTAGAACCCAGTACTCATGGGTAGTATATTTTGTGTGCCAATCTGCTATTTTTATAAAAGATGACTTCAGGACACATTTGGTTCAAGATATAAAGGATATTAAGGGTGAAAATCTCAGGGAGCCCTGTGTCCTCAACTTGTGCAGCATTTTTGTCTGAGCATTTTTAAGAATTTGAATTTTATCAAATTATAAGGATCTGTCTTACTGTGGCAATAATTCTCATCCCTGATGAGAATAGTGAAAAATGGTGCTGGTTCTTCCAGTCTTGGAGTTGATGTGGCCCTGGCCTGTGAAGGTTATTATCTTTGTAGACTAGGTTTTTTTCTCTGAGATAGAATTTATTTAGTATCTCTTTATTTCAAGTAAATTTGTTAATGCAGTGGTTTTTCTGAAATAGTTTATGCAGCTCTTTTGTAAATTAGATATTGCCTTAATGACTATCTAGTCATTCTAATTAGATACCAGAATTTTAGTTTTCTTAACTAGTAAATATTATTTATATATATGCTTTATTTGTATAGATACATTCTTGTAATTTTTTTATTATAATAATGGAGTAACTCAAAGCCACTTTCCAGTGATTGCTGCAAGATTTTTCATAGATTAAGATTAAAGCGAATTGATATTTCACATATAGTTCAAAAAAATAGGACAAGAATCAAGAAAAGGAGTAAAAAAAAGGGCTTTATCTTAAAGGAAAAGATAATTATCCGACATCATCAGAGAAATCTAGAATGTTTCAAGGAGTAATTTTATCACTCAAAATGATAATACTGTAGGACATTACCATTCCAGAAACATTGTGAGAATACTTAATTTTATTGACTGACTTGATTTTGATTTGTGATATGTTCTTTTTTTTACTATATCTTGTTAGTGAATACTAAGAAAAAGAGATAATTCCCTGAATAAAAACAAATAAGATAGTTGTATGACTTTAAGGAGTTCTGGTGACACAATCTTTAGGGTGGTTTCCTGCTCTAACCCAAAGGATTTATATTCTTGGTGGTTCAAATACACTAAAGGCTCTGAGGGAGAAAGATACATAGTCTCCTCTCGTGCAGTTTACAGCTCTGAAAGTTTACTGGCGGGTTAGCCGTGAGTTGGTTACCACGTAAAGGCAATGAGTTTTAGTTTTGTTTAATGACTAAGGAATATTATTGTAAGGAGATTGCATAAGAAGTTGCAGTACTACAAATTATTTCCAAGAAATAATATTGATAAATTTATACAAAGCTGAATATCCTTTTTATGTATTAATTCCCAATTTGTGGTACATAGAAAAGTCATTCTTTTTTAGTTTTTAAAATATATTGATTCAACCCCCCATTATTCTTTTATTAAAAATATTTTCTTTCATTCCTGTAGTGTGTCTTCTTACACACCAAGCAGAGTTAATTTGAACTAAGGATTAGTACAAGCTATTATGGTGCAGTTGCTGTTGTTGCATTCCATCAAGTCAGAAACAATCCATAGATGATCCTGCAACAAGTTTTCAGAGACTGTAAATAGCAAAGGAGGAGATTGCCCAGTCTCCCAGGGAACAGCTTGTGAATTTGAACCATGTGTCTTCAGGATTGCAGCACAGCTGGATAAAACAATTTGAGTAAAGATAAATGAAGTAAAGAGAAAAAAATAGAATCAATTAAATCTAAAATTGATTATTTTGAAAATCAACAAAACTGATCAATGTTTAAAAGAGAAGACATGAGAAAGAAGACACAAAGAACTAGAATGGGAGATTTTTACTGTACTTAAATAAAAATTATTGTACCAAAATACTGTGAACAACTTGAAAAATAACTTGAAAAAAGGATATAAATGAATTTTATGTGCAGTAACTTCTAAAGGATATTATATCTAAGATGCAGTAACATCTAAAAGATGTTGTATCTAGTGGCTTAGTGGGAAGGAATTACATTAGCACTCCAGAGCCATGTGATTTGAACCCACCAGTTACTCCACAGAAGATGGGCAAATCTCCTCCTGTACAATTTTCTGCCTCTGAAAAATCTGCTGGAAGGTCAGTTATGAGTCAGTTCCAACTCAGTAGTACACAACAGCAATATCTAAAAGAATAAATTTAATCAAGAAGATGAAAGTCTTTTAAACTGAAAATGAGAAAATATTGCTGAAAGAAATGAAGAATCTAAATAAATGGAAAGATTGCCAGATGAAGAGTTAAAGACTTAATTTTTGCTAAGATCCCTTGTTGCCATACAATAATCTACAGATTCAACACAATTCCCAGCTTTCTTCTCCACTGTATTCCATTATTCTATCCCAGTTCATGCTTATTTAGCTCTTTAAGGCTGTATGCCAAAGACTGAGTATTCACCTTTCTTGGCATATTTTGATTGTAGTATCTGTTGAAAGCGCTGTCTGTCTCTTGTTTAGTCATGTGCTTGCCTCTAATCAACCTGGAATGCATCTGCCTTTACTGCAAGTGGCTGATTCTTCTGGGAGAAAATAATCCAAAATATGCTCACCGTTGTAGATCTTTGTGTTTTCTATGATCTTAGTTTTAAAATTCCTGTTAACATACATACTTATGTAATGATATTTTAAAATATTTTGTTTTAAAATGTCTTTTAAACATTTTAGTTCTCAGCAGGAAAATTGTTTAAAATTATTTTGTCCAGGGTTATTGAAAACAAAACTCTTTATTTTGACTATGAATAATGAAGTGCATGTTTTGAATAATTTTTTTCACTTTCACTTTTCATTTTTAAATTTCAGATAGCTTCGTTATTTCCCATGTATGTAGTGGGGTACATTGAACTGTACAAATTTCAGAAGATCATTTATATAAACATGGTAACTTTTTAATGATTATACCTAGATTTTAAAATAAATTATCACAGTTTATGAAAGAGAATAGATCTTATTTTAAAGGATACCTGTTCTTTCATGAGGGAGCTCAGGTGGCCTAGTGGGTAATGGCTTGTGGTTCAAATCCACCAGCTGCTCTGTGAGAATATCCTGCTTTAAAACCTTAGAAACACACTGGAGGGTCAGCTATAAGTTGGTTCCAAGTCATACAGATATGAAACAACAACTTCTTTGATGCTGTACAATCCATACAATATTAATGATATTCAGATGATTGGAAGTACAGATTATATATATTATACTATCACATTAAATTTTCAGCAGTGATGTATATATGTTTTACTCTAAAACTTTCATCAGTTTATCTCATTTCTTATTACACTCATGTATTTTGAGACTTCCTTTTCTCCATGTGGCCTGAGATTTTTAACATTTTGCATGAACACAACATTCAACAAATGAGGTTTTTATATTAATTTTCCTTTTCTTCTAATCCCCAAATATACCTTCCTTAACAACACAAAAGATACTATGCAAGCTTCATATCTTTATTGCTAAGTTTTCCATATTATGTTCCTCCATTCTTGAAACAGTAGGCTATTTTAAACAAAATTATTATATCAAGTATTAGAGAAAAAGATTTGTTTTTCTGTGTAAAATTTATGGCCTTCATACTTAAAAAAGTCTGTTTGTGAATTGCAATTCCATTCTTATTTTATCATGATCTATTAGTTCTTTATGTCAAGTACTTATTTTGATAGATAAAATTATATAAAAGTTATATAT